CTGACATACAGAGGCCCAGAGTGAAATAATTATAGATGGATCCAGAATGACATTTAACAACTGGAGAGGGTTGTGTTGCTTAAAGATCGAGATCCAGACAGATTTGTAGGCTCCTTTGTTTGTAATAAGCTTCTGTGACTGATACAATTTCTTAAAAAAAAAAAAAAGGTCAGTTTGCAGCTAAAGGAACTAAAATCTAAATACTTTTGGACCAGAGAGAAGTGTTAGTAAGGCAAAACTAACAGAGTTATTCCTTCATCTTGGACATGAATACATTCTAAAAATTACAGGCAAATCAGAAATCTGAAATGAAAGTAATAGAATTGTGCACACTCTCACCGACAACATTTAGGCCTTTTTTATGAAGCCGCTTAGTGCAATTTGTGCAACATATAAAATCCTCCAACGTCAGACCTTCTATTCACACAAGGGCACAAAAAATAACGTTTCATTGGTAAATAAAAGGTAGAAACTTCAGGAAAAAACAACAGACGAGTGGTCCTTCATTCACCATGAAACCACATGGAACGGATACTGTATAAAGACAGAATACTACAAAATTACAATACAATATGTAGAAACAGAATGACAGTTATGAGCAAGTTTTAGGTGCCACCTTGAACACATAAAAACCTCCTCACCACAGTGACATGGAGAGAGTTCTCTGAGCTTTAGTCATACTTTGCTGTCTAAGTAGTTTTGGGGTTTTAGCTCCCTACATTTTCTATTTAATCATATCGTCTTCTCTCCTGTCCATCCAGTTGTCCCACAAACCCAGTAAGTGCTCTCCAGCCCAAATCCGCCGCCTGGCCTCTCAGGTAGACGGTACTCGCCTGTGGGAGAATCACCTGAAGCCAATCCTCATCCAGAGGCTCCCGGGGACACAAGGCAGCCTGGCCGTGCAGCAGGTGTGTGTAAATATTTAGTTTCCATCTCATCTCGTTTTAAACAAATGGGTTCCTCGCTCTTTTTAAACCTACCCTCTCTGCTCTGCTTCAGCACATCACCTCCACTCTGGCCTCGCTGTCTGCCGGCTGGGCCATAGACCTTGACTCTTTCCAGTCTGCAACGCCTCGCGGCCAGGTTGCGTTCACAAATATTGTCGCCACTCTGGATCCCTCGGCTCCACGGAGGTTACTGTTGGCATGCCACTATGACTCCAAGGCTCTGCCTCCGGACCCAAGGGCCCCTGAGAGGGTGTTTCTGGGAGCCAGTGACTCTGCGGTGCCGTGTGCTATGATCCTGGAGCTCGCCACCTCTCTGGATGCCCAACTTAGATCCTTTAAACAGCTGGTGTGTAGTTATGAGCTGGTGGTTGCACTTGATATTTAGAGAATATTAGTTTCCCTTTATTTGATACTTTCATGTTTTACTTCATAAAAATACACACAGCCTGAGGTGCTGACACTTTGTTTTTTTTCTAATACTGATTTCACCCCGCTGCCTCTTTGCCTGCAGTATAGGATAGAAAATGCTGACACCAGCCCGTTGTTTTCTTTGCTGCAGTCATCTGTAAATAGCAGTATCTCTCCTGAGGCTGTGATTTATGTAGTTACTGAAGAGACACACACTGCAACTTTACTGCAGACAGAGAAACCAGCTTCATTCCATCATTCCTCTTAATTAGATCCCTTCTGCTCATTTTCCCCTTTTAGAAACTTCCAGTGACTCTTCAGCTGGTGTTTTTTGACGGGGAGGAATCATTTGAAGAATGGACCGCCACAGACTCGCTGTATGGCTCCCGTCACCTGGCAGAGCGGATGGCCAACACGCCGCATCCTGCAGGAAACACACACGCCACCATGCTGCAGGCAGTGGTGAGAGGGGAAAAAAAAAAGTTTGCTTTATGCAGCAAACACACACTGCATCCATTGTCACATGCTCACATCCAGCGGAGACACACTCAATTATGTATGAGGATGCTGAATTTAACAAAATGCATGAACCCAGCACATCTTAAACTTTACTACAGCAACAGTTCTAGCATGTCTTTATAGACTGGCCTTGTGTTTTTATGAATAGAATAATGTGGGATAGGTCTGTATCTAGTTATAAGACACTTACAACTGCAGGAGATTTCCCCAGAGACGAGGAACATTTGGCAGAACTCAATGCATCTCGACCACAGGGACCAGGGTCTAAATGGAGGTCAAGGCAGTGCTGCTGGGTCTTGCAAAGGAAACAAGTAACCACATCAAAGAAGCAAGACCACAGGCTTTTTGCAAAAGAGCTGTGGACTGTGATTACTCTGAGCTGCATGCATTTCAAATGAAACGCTTTATAATGCATTGGATTACAATGGTCTGAATAGGCCACTTAATAATGCTGCTAGTCATTTTGTTTTTTTGCAAAGTTGCAAAAATGGTCTGAAAAGTTGCTTAATCAAGTGAGAAAGTTGCCAAGTTAGCAACGATGCTTACTGTAACTTGTAATAGACGTTTCAACGGGACTCATGCAGCATTTCTATAACATGTAAAAAAAATATATGTCCTTAAGTATTCACACCTTTTGTTTTACAATATGGTGCAATGCAATATGATATACTGGAAAATGTGTCTTTGACTGAAGTAGAGAGAGACAGGAGATTGTAGGAAGCAAGCCCAAATAAGAATCTACACTTTGAAGCAGGCCCTAATGAACACCCCACTACCAACATTTGTTCGGTGCTTCACAGAAAAACAAGCCCACAGTTGCCTTTGATAAACTGACTATAGGTTCAGGTAAATTATTTAGCTCCCAATAATGGCCTTATCTTGGCGTATAACTTACAGGTGGGGCTTGTAACACAGAAATCTTCTGATTGGTTGAGTGTTGGGAAGGATTTTTTTTTCAGCCAACAATTTTAACAATCTGCAAACCAGTATATGTTTTTTTCACTAAGAAAAGACGACAGATGGGTTCTTGCCGAAATCTGAGCCCTTATAAGCATTTATAATAAAGACAACTTCTAGCTTGTTGTCTTTGCAGTGTTGCACAAATGATAAAGTTGGTCTGTCTTTATACTGCACGTTGTTTTTGTAAAACAATGTGTTAATACAACCTTTACCTAATTGTGGTCCATACCGCCCAGCCCGGGGTGCTAGTGGCGTAGTGGTTTGTGTGCACAACCCATGTGGGGAGGTTTTAGTTCTCTAGGCAGGCGGCCCGAGTTCGAATCCGATCTGTGGCCCCTCTCCCGCATGCCATTCCCCACTCTCTCTGATTCCTGACTCTATTTACTGTCATTTCTCTACAATAACGGCACAAAAAAAATCTTTATGGAGATATATATATCTACATAAATACCGACCAGCCCTTTGATGAAGTTTTGAGAAAAGGCCAAACTCTTTTTCTTCACCGTCCACTCCTGCTTTGCCTGTTCAGTCACATGCAGTCATGTGGCTACACATGACCGCTGTTTCCATGTGTTGTGTTTTTTCAATGGCCATTTCCATCTCCACACCTCCCTATTTGTACTTCTCTTCCAGGACCTCTTTGTGCTGTTGGACCTGCTTGGTGGTCCTGATCCACTTATTGCAAATCATTTTGATAACACGGCACGCTGGTTTGACCGGCTGATTGCTGCAGGTAGGAACTGGCTGTAACTTCTTTATGACTATTTAAAATCCCTCCCTGTGTGGTAGAGCCTAACTCCTCTCTTTACCCCTCACTCACAGAAAAGAGACTCCACCGTCAGGGGTTTCTAACGTCTCACCCCACAGAGCAGACGTATTTTAGGAAAGATGTTTACCTCGGCCCCGTACAGGATGACCACATACCCTTCCTTCACAAAGGTGAGTGATAACACAAAAATCAAATGTAGAAGATATTCCAGTGTTTGAGTTATAAAGACCAGTATCCTTCTCCTTCTCCCCACTTTTTACCACGATACAGATGTCCCTGTGCTCCATGTCATCGCCACCCCCTTCCCACAGTTCTGGCATACGCTGGACGACACAGAGGAGAACATGCACCGGCCCACTGTGGTGAACCTGACCAAGATCCTTGCTGTGTTTCTGGCAGAATACCTGGGCTTCTGAACACCAAACACTGGCAACTTATTGTGCTGAAGGTCCATGTGTAAATATCACAGAAAGACCTCTACTTATTACCCCATACTGGAGTACTATGGCTGTAAGTCACGCTGATGACAAATGAGTGCAACAAAAAAACCACAACCTGATTAAGACGTTAATAAAGAAACAAGAACCTGGTGATATGAAGTGAACCGGGGCACTTCAGTAGATGAAACAACAACTTTACCAAAGACTGTGGCCCTGCTGGATTTGCCTGTCACCGTGGTTACACATCAGGGCTGTGTTAAAGCCCCTGTCTACATGTATGGGCTTATGATGTGTACAAGACAGTCAAGAGTAAGTAGTTTATAGAGGTGGAGGAACAATTTATATAGTTGATTCTGTGAATTTAATTTTTTACTTATTTCCTGTGAAAAAAATCCTAGCATTTATTTCCCTCCTGTGAATATGATTGACAAGCTCTAATGTATCTCAAAGACAGGCTTGGAGCTGCTGTGAACACTGTTCATACAGTGATAAAGGTCAAAACATGGTACGCCACATCTGTGAAAAAAAATCTGTCAATAGGAACATTTAGATTTTTGACCTGCTGTTATTTAATCCTAGCTTTATTATATGGATATACTGTATAAGAAAAAAAACCTCCAAAAATGGTAATTTACAGCTTGCAAACGCTGTCAAAACAACTTCAATAAAGTCAGAATTGTTCAATTTATATTGTCTTTAAATTTGATGCAACTTAAGGAGGTCACAAAAACGAGTTACTAAAAGCTGTTGTAGCTTCTACATATGGGCACATATGGGGAAAAAAATTCCAGTATCCTTCCTAAAACCAGTTTTAAAACAATGTCAGCTCATTCATGGTTTGGTTATACACTCTTCTTTGTAAAGAATATGTTCAACTACCATCAAAGACCTGAAAATGTTCTTTCAGAGTTGTAGGTTGTTAAAAAAAACAAAAAAACATGACAGGTGAAGGACCGATTCAAAGGAGTCCTCCACACATGTGACGCAGAGTTGGTGGTGGTGGTGGGTGAGACAAGGGTGGAGGTGCAGGGCAGGAGTGTTGGAGAATCGGGCTGTCAGGAGGTGAGGAGTCGAGGTCAGACAAAGGGCAGATTTCAGTTCCTCCAGAGCAAGAAACTTTGAAACTGAATAAAGAGATGACACACATTAGAAAACAGAAATAATGATCTTTTTATGTCCAGTAAAAGTTTGCATAATGTGTTTATTCCACCACAAGATGGCCTGTTTTTATATGTATAAAAGCATAGACTGTATACATTATTTACAGTCAATAGTATAAAGAAGGAAACTGGACCTTGGGACTGGCTCAGAAACAGAATGGACCATTAAAAGTAATTATTGTTTAAAATATAATGAAACTATCATGCAGTTTTCATTTTAATATTTCTGTGTGACCACTAAAGGGACCAGAAGCAAATTTCTCATCAGTCAAGGAACAATTGTCTTTATTTCCCTTTCCAACCCCAGCGCAGTCTAGGCCTGTGAAGGCTGTTTCGTCATGAGCCGGGGACCGGCCGAAGATTTCTGCCCTTTAATAAGGCAGTTTTTTCTTACCACTGTAACTTTTGCTGCTTTGCTAAAAGTGCTCATGATGGATAGGCCGGATCTTTGTAATATAGCAATAAGTAAAGTGTTTTACCTGCTTTTCGTAAAGTGTCTCGAGATAACACTTGTTATGAGTTGATGCTTTACAAATAAAAATTGATTGATTGATTGATTGATTAATTGATTTATTTAAGGAATGTAAGATCATATTTTTTGTCACGAAATGTTTTTGCATTTCATAAAATTAGTTTGCGACTAGTTAGCTAGTAATGACATATAAATCAGTGCAAACCGGTGTCAATGCCTCCTTATTATTTTCTTACTTGAACACCCTTAATATTTACAGTCTACGTTAAGACCCTGCTCTTCTCTTGGCTATGGAGGACGAGATCTGACAAAAGTATAAATAAATAAATGTAAAAATAAATAAATAAATGTAAAAATGAATAAATGTGGAAATAAATAAAAGTATAAATAAATAAATGTAAAAATAAATAAATAAGTGTAGAAGTAAATAAATGTGGAAATAAATACATGTATAAATAAATGTGGAAATAAATAAATGTGGAAATAAATACATGTAGAAATAAATAAATGTGGAAATAAATAAATGTGGAAATAAATACATGTAGAAATAAATAAATGTAAAAATAAATAAATGTGGAAATAAATACATGTAGAAATAAATAAATGTAAAAATAAATAAATGTGGAAATAAATACATGTATAAATAAATAAATGTAGAAATAAATAAATGTGGAAATAAATACATGTATAAATAAATAAATGTAAAAATGAATAAATGTGGAAATAAATACATGTATAAATAAATAAATGTAAAAATAAATAAATAAATGTAGAAATAAATAAATGTGGAAATAAATAAATGTGGAAATAAATACATGTAGAAATAAATAAATGTGGAAATAAATACATGTAGAAATAAATACATGTAGAAATAAATGTGGAAATAAATACATGTATAAATAAATAAATGTGGAAATAAATACATGTAGAAATAAATAAATGTGGAAATAAATAAATGTAGAAATAAATTTAAGACATTTAATTATTATGTCCCATTTATTTACCAGTTTTTATTTATTCATTCACGCATTTAATTATTTATTTATTCATTCATTATTTTATTTATTTATTCTAGTATTTATTTATACATTTATTTATTTATACTTTTGTCAAATCTCGTCTTCCATACTTGGCAGCCTACTGAGAATAAATCTCAAGATAAGACGATCCCTCCTCCGGCCCCGTTACTGACCCGTCAGAGTCCGTCGCTCGGTCCCTCTGCCTGCGGTTCTTGAACCAGTTGCTGACCTGTGTGCTCGTCAGGCCGGTGGCCGCTGCCAACTCCCGCTTCTCCCGGGTAGAGGGATACGGTTTATGGCGGTACCATTCCCGGAGTGTACTCCGTGATTTTTCCTGTTAGTAAGTTGTGTTAAAAAAACGTCAAAGCTAAACCACAACAAAGGCACATGGGGAAAAAGACTGTTCTATGCTAAGTAGGATATGAAGTCAGAATGCAACACTGATAAATATTCCTCTTAAATAGCATTAAAATGGGTGTCGCCGTTTTAAATTGATTGATATCATGATTAACTGTTATTAACTAAAGAACTTCAGTAACTCTTCTAACTAAGTCCTGCAAGTGTCTCACGTTTACTTTCCCTCCCGGATGTATAGGCTAGATAAAGGTGTCAGTAAGATGTTTAAAGTTTTAAATTATTTGTTGAAGAAAATCAATAAAACATTAGTAAAGTATCATCTGCAGAATGTACTAACAATTAAAAAAAAAAACAATTGTAGAAAAGTCTCAAAATCGATTCACAGAGGTATGCTGATAGCCTATTAGGTAGATTATAGACTAATTTAGTCTGTTACAGAGGTAGTTAGAGGTTGGGGAGAAGTTTGAATACACTATAACAGCTATAGAAAATAATTGATCAACGGAGGATCTTTTTTTATGTAGCCTACATTTTAAATCTGCATAAAGCCTAACCACAACTAAAATACCCCAGTAATTTGGTGGAGTAGAAATCAGAGGTAGCTTTGATCCTCAGGAACAATTACAGTATAAGTTTTACTTGAAAAAAAAATATATACCAGAAGGCCAAATAAAAGGTGAAAAGCATATCAAAGATACATCAACAGATAAGATTTAGCCTACTTTGAAGCAGTAGCTCGTCTCTTCCCCATCCCAGATGGTGAGTGGTAGAGGGAATTTTCTCCTCAGACGATACTTCCCTACAGCTCCCAGGGGTCGGCCCCTCTGCCTCTCAGCTTCCATGTAGTGGGCTTGGAGCCAGAGCTGCTGCAGGACTGGGTGGCTGCGTGTGGAGAAGGGGAAACCCTCTAGCATGGTGTAGAGGTCAGTGAAGCGGCCTTGGTGGAAGGCCACTGCTGCTTTAGCCTTCAGCATGCTTTCTTGCTCCCAGAGGTGAGGAGTGGAGGAGGAGCAGAAGGGAGGAGGAAGAGTGTGGAGGAAGACAGCGAGGCGATCCATGCTACCTCTCTGCAGTAGAACCTCGCACACACAAGCTATCTGCTCGGCTGTGAAGATCATTGCCGTGGAAATCCGAGACTTAAGTTGAACCGAGATCTGTGTTGAAAGTATCTTCTTACAACCTCTCTTTTAAAACTGAACTACAGAGAGACAAATCCTCTGTGGAGCATTGTGGCTCATCTGTGGATAAACAAGTGAAAGAAAATGTGTGTTCATCTTCTCTCATCATGCCCTGACAGAATCAAATCACAGGTAACCTGAAACCATCGGGGTTAAAACAACACACCATGCATCCCTTCTTGTCTTGTACAAACACATGCAGGCACACGTTCACATACATTTTCGGCCTTTGCTATTGTATGAACCAACAGAGAGCCACGAGACAACGAATCTACATTTGAATACAATTTACTTGCCAAATTAGCACCAGTCCTCACGGTAGAGACCCAGGAAAAACACAACAAACCTTTCTTTTGTAAATGTAGTTTATTACAATATTATGAAATATAAAAAATAGAATGCATTTGAATACAAAAATGAGAAACAAGATCTTGAATGACAAACACAAATGATCCCTTTCAAAACTGTCAAAAAGTCAAACAACAAACATTATCTTTGGTGATATCTGGAGACGTTTATGTATCAGGTAGGGGGGGAGTAAAAAGACACAACCCCCGGGTACAAACAAACAGGTATAAATGTGCGTAAGCCCACAGAGGCTTGAATGTCAACAAACTTTGGTATGAAATGGCTCAAATAAACAAAGGCTACTTTCATTTACATATTGGACACATTTCCCTTTACCCCTAAGTCGTTTAAATATTGGCTAAATTGAGACTAATATTGATTTGTCAAAGCCATTTTACAAACTACCCAAAGAACAAATGACCTTAAAATGTATTCACTGGGGGGTGATCTACTGTATTTCAGTACAACCATTTTCCCATCGAAATAGATTTGACACCTGTCATCAGACTATCAAACCTATACTGAACAACAACGTGACCTTCCAAGTGAAAATACAAAGTACTTCCTATTCATGTTTTTCTAGAAGGATCAATTTTCTTTCAGTTAAAACTAGATTGAAAATGCATGCTTTAAATAGATTAAATGTACAAAAAAGACATACAAAAATATGAATAAAAAAAAAAACACATAAAAGCCACTATTCTAACTAGATGCGGCACTGAAGTGTAGTTTTTATGTACCGTTAATGGCCAAAAGTTAAACCTCTACCTGTGAGATGACAGTGGAGGGCTCGCATGATGAGGAGTGTTTTACGGGACATCAGCGTCCTGTTTTCTGAGTTATCTTTTCTGTTCAGGACTCTTAAAGGTCCAAGGAGGAAGGATTTCAATGTGAGTCCCACCACTGGCATAAAATAACACAGCGAGGCAGCGTAAACATCGTCAATGAAAGGTGCAAAATATACAAATACAGAAGACAGATCTATGATCATGCAAACAGAACGGTCACATTATGTTTCAACAGAGAATACAAAGTGTTGACATTCAATAACAGGTATAAAGTTGATGTCAAAATTTGGTCAGGTGTAAAAAAAAAAAAATGTTTTTTTTTAAATGTGTAAATGAAGAAAAAAAAAAAATCACACTTGATCAAAACCAAACATACTTGGAAGCTTTAAAATAAGGCACTTAACAATAATAAACAGATATTTTGGATGCAATGATACAAACATCACTACGTGAGATCACAGCAAACATTTAGTGTCATGCTTCAGTTTTCATCTCCCAAGAATACACACATTTCACAAACACATTGTCCTATAAAATACCTAACATGTATTGCATAGAGTAGAGACCCTTTGATTTCCTCTGTTTTGTTGGTACTTTTGGGAGAAAGACATTTAAAACAGTTCTCTAATAAAATGTAGTTTGGGTGCATGTTTTAACCCAGACTTCAGTAACTTGTAGCGATAAAAACACTGATGTGTCGCTTTAAAGTTTATATGTCACTATGGTTTCACATACCTCAGTTCTATTTGTGAAGAATACCATCTTCACTTTATTCCTGGAGTGTTGCTACATTATTGTTTTCAGGTTGTGAACATGAAGGAGATAACAGCAATACTTATATATATCTAGATCTCTGCCTTTGTCAAATAGTCTAAACCATTGGTTCTCAACTGGTGGGTAGGGAACCAAAAGTGGTTCGCGGGGCCATTTTCCGTGGGTTGCTCATGTGTGCTTGGAAGAACAATGTTGTTAAAAAGTCAAGAAGCACTTTTTTATTTAACAAGTTTGTTTCCTTCAGTTTCTTTGTTCTATCACACCTTATACCGTCTGAGGTCCAAACTGCACAGTTTTCCTTTAAATAAATCTGAATGATTGAAAAATCTAAGAAATTTGGGTCGCTATTTTTCATGACGGAGTAGTTGGTGGGTCCTGAGGCTCAACCAGTTGAGAACCACTGGTCGAAACCAATCTCATTTTTAATTAACAGCTTAGCTTGGTCTGCTGTGCTCAGAACTGCAAAAATGATGTGAGGCATATATATATATATTTTTTTATATTCTGTAGTCTTTAACATCAGAACCTGTAAGAAGTCAGAGCAATATAATCCGTGTAAAGTCTTCGGTCTGTGTCTGAAAAATCTAGTAAGGCAAGTACGGCTTTTAGTTTAAAAAAAAAAAAAAAAAAAAAAAAAAAAAAACCTCAGAGGCTTCACATGTAAGCCCCTGATGAATGTAAAGTACAGCTGCAAAGGGTTTGTCTTAAAAGTGCCAGCTAAGACCACGATGGCCCTGCTGAGAGAGCATCATTGTTGTACATGTCAGAACCCACACATGTGAAAAGACTTTGTGAGTCTTCACGGATCAAAGAATTTGAAAGTCTTTAGATCACTTATATAAGAAAACGTCAGATTCTGTAGCTCACTGTGTCTCATGCTTTGTGTTTTTGGAGACATTGGGTTGCCAACTAGCAACGTAAACAGACTACAGGCCCAGCTCATCGTCCACAGGGACAGACTGGAGCTGAGTCAGTATCTTGGAGTCTCCATCTATACCCTCTGGATTACCAAGCGCAGAGTTAGCGTCCACATCCTGCTCTGACGAGGGGCTTCCCAGCAGCAGCGACTCTCCCCCAGGTAGGCCTAACAAAGCCGGGTCTACAGGTAGGTCCCCCTTGCTGCGCATGTCAAACAGAGTCAGACCAGCTGAAGTGGAGAGGGTCACGGGGCTCCAGGCTGGTTGGGAGAGCTGATTGGTGGGTGTCACTCCGCTGTACATGGGGCTGAGGGTTAGCATACTCTCTGGAGTGAGTGTGTTCAGAGTTGTGGAGGTGACTGAGTGGTCCAGTGTGTGAGGGGAGGGGGTGGCAGGTGTCCCAGCGTCAGAAGCACAGTACGGTGGAGACGAATTGATGAAGTTTAATGTAGATGATGTGAGGACGCCGGGGTCGGGGCACAGGTGGTTAAGGGATGGGAGGTTATCGGCGGGGCGGAGGTGGTGAGGATGGGACTCAGTCCATTAACAGAGATGGGTGAGGCCTCAGGGACTGTTTTCAGGGGTAAACTTGTAAGCTGGATGCCAGCTGGGATGGTCAAAATCAGCTTGCCTTGCTGGACACTCAGGTAAGGGCTTCCACCAAGGAGAAGGTTTCCTATAATAATGATATATAAAAGGCAGACAACAACAATCAATACTGTGTAACAACAGCCAAACATGCAGAACCTCAAGAAAACTCTTCGTTGTCTTAAAACAAAGACGCAGCAAATTGGTGTAAAATAAAGAAAGTTGGGGAAAAAAATACATCTGCAATAAACTTAGTCATGTGTGTCTGTTTTTTTTCTCCATATTTTTACAAAGAAAATCATGTGTGCAGAATTATTCCCTTTTCACATCTTCTACTGTTGCTCTTTGGTTTCAGTAAGAACTTAGTTCATTTAGTTTTTTGACCATGTTATTGTATCATGTCATCAAAGATAAGCTGTTATTGTGTTACCTCTCTCTCTCTCTCTCTCTCTCTCTCTCTCTCTCTCTCTCTTCTCTTCTCTCTCTCTCTCTCTCTCTCTCTCTCTCTCTCTCTCTCTCTCTCTCTCTCTCTCTCTCTCTCTCTCTCTCTCTCTCTCTCTCTCTCTCTCTCTCTCTCTCTCTCTCTCTCTCTCTCTCTCTCTCTCTCTCTCTCTCGTCTATACTATTTGATACTATTTCAAACATTTGATTTACTCCTTTTTCTGTTTTTCCAGTTGTTTTCTCAAAGTCTGATATTTTTTTTTAATGGTTTAAGCTGGTTTCCCATTTTGAAAGATCAATGAGATGGTTTACTTGCGATAAAAAAAACGTGTTTCTTCTCGATAAGGGGATACTTTTTTGAGATCTAATAAAATAAAACAATAACCTGGTCATTGTGATGGGCCAGACCACGACATGCCACACATCTTTTGTACTTTTGCAACTCTTGGGATACGATATCAACAAGTTAGGATCTTAAAAATCAACTGGAAAAGACTCGCTATCAGGACAATGGAGTAAATAAGAGGTATGGACGCATGTCCTCTTGGAGCGTCTGTGCTATACAACGCCAAATTCATGTCTTTAAAACTATACATATTCAGTTTGATATCATATTACTACAACAATGTTAAATTCTCAGATTTGAGGTGCTACAAAAACCAAGTTCTTGTCATTACAGTTGTAAAAAGTACTGGCAATGCTGAATTTACTTTATAGATCTATGCATTATAATCCAATGAATGATTCATACCTGAAGAATTCAGTATACCTGGAGGAGCAGAGGGCAGCTGAATGATCCCAGAGTTGAGGAGCTGCACGCCAGGAGCCATGCTGGTTGGAGGAACCACACCCTGGATGGGCCTTAGCTGGTTCATCCTCAGAGGACCCTGTGGGACCCCGGCAGCTGCAGGTGCTGAGGTCAGGAACTGTAGCGGCAATCCAGCAGAGGGGATGGAGAGAGACGGACTGGCAGGAACCACTTGGGGGTAGGAAATGGTGGATGAAGTTTGGATTGGGGAGACTGGGACAAGCTGGGGCATAGATAGGGAGACTAACTGTGCTGGTGTGCAGGCTTTTGTCTGGGGAGAGATAGAAATAACCTGTGGGACCTGGACTTTGCCAGGTGATGAGTTTGTGGCTTGGTTCCCCAGCTGGTGTGCTGTTCTCTGCGGCAGCTGGGAGATGGAGACTATGGTTGTGGACCCTTCAAGTGAAGTTGATGTTGACACTTCCTGCTGGTGCTGCACCAGTTTGCTGCCTGTGTTCACTGTCTGGCTTTGGAAATAAGGTGTTGGCGAGGCAAGGGGGGAAACCGGGACCAACTGGGGGCACTGGGACACCTGTGCTCCAGAGGAGTGCTGCACCAGCTGGGATACCGGTATCCCCTGGATGGAAGGCACAACCTGGGGCGGAGAGAAGACCTGAGGCATGGAGCTGCTGGAAACAACCACAGAGCTAGAAGTGTTCAACTGGGAGGCAGAACATGCTATGATAACATACTCCCGTTGTGGACTGCAGAGAGGCTCAATGGAGGATAATGAGGCTGGGATGGTGAGTGACTCCTGCTGTTGGGTGCTTTGAGTTAAGGCCAGTGAGGGGAGACTTGCTGGGGAAGACAGAGTTGGTGAAGAGGGGGATAACGATGAAGAGGTGGAAGATACTGTCTGGCTGCTGTCCTCTGATTTGGAGACAGTTGTGAAATCCACTGCATTGTTGCTGCCTGTCTTAGTTTGGAGGGGAAGAGAGATGATGGAAGGGTGGTTTGAGGCTGGTGTGGTGTTATTGTTAAGAACAAGAGCTGGAAGACTGCTCAGATTGGCATCAATGGCTGAAACCTCTTCTGACATAGACACCGTTTGCTGCTGCACGCTGACAGCAGGTTTGGTTATGACCTGAGCCCCGTTCAGTATCAGAGGCGAGTTAGTAACAGGACTCAGTGTGACTGTTTGGCAATCGGCCAAGCTCAGCCCGTTAATGATGACACCAGCGCCGTTGCTGGAGATGAGAGAGTTTCCGTTAAGAAGCAACGGATGAGAGGACGTGAGGAAGCCACCTGAGCCGTTGAGGATCAGCTGGCCTCCCGCGTTGCAGGGGACAGAGGAAAGAGAGATGATGGAGGTAGTGGAGCCAGAAGCCTCCTCTGGTTTTTCAGGAGTGTCGTCCATGGGGCTCACCTCGTCGTCAGAGCTGTGGTTCCCATCAGACTCACTGGAACAAGAAAAAGTTTGTCAGATAAAAAGGGAAAGTGTTGGGAGCTGGGCTGTATTAGTACTCATCTTATTATTGATTTCCTTTGAAAGTTTCAAATCCTCTAAACAGTGAATGCTTTTGCTGTTCAAACTATGTTTTAAGGACAAAATTGCACAAATGGACCAACCCCATCAGATCTTTCTTTTGAATTCTGACCAGGGAGTATATTTGATAAAAAAAAAATACATGGTATGCCTGGACAGGTAGGCATTTTCTTTTCTAATGTAACATATAACTTACTTACACAATTTAGCAGTCTGATGAATTCAAGGCATAACATTGAAGTCAAACAATCAGGATACTTCTCGCAGGGTAGCATCTGTTTTTTGATTTTAAATCATTATAGAACCTACCTTTATTTTTTTACACCATGAAGAATGTCATCAACTCAAATAGGCTACACGTGCAACAGATTTAAAGAACACATTAAGTCAGTAATAACTCATTTATGATTGAAAACCTTTTGAGAGAGCTATATGAAAAACAATTATCATCATTACACCATCTTCATGTTTCATGCCCGTGTCATTAGTACATGGAAAATGTTATATTACAAAAATAATTTAATTAATTCAAAATGTTTCAATAATTCAATGACTGTATAAAAAAAGTGATTACATGGATTGTTGCAGAGATACTTTCTTGTTTAATTAGTACATTTTATAGACACTGCCTGTCTGTGGTGATTAAGTTGATTATTATAATCTACATTTTATGAGTCCCCTTGGACTGGATTGGATTGGCAGAAGTGACATTTTCATGATAATATTATCAAGAATCGATTTAGAAAATAAACTTGAGTGTTGAACAGATTTCTCTCTTGTGAGAACAGCCAATGGGTACTATAATTAATCCTTGTCATCCTTTTCTGTTAATCTTCACTAGCCCAAATAAAAAACAGTTGATCCGTATTAAACAATCTGAGCGCTGAAAGGATGCTGGATTCGAAAACTTGTTTAGGTCCTTCACTTTGTGAATATGTGCAGCCCTGGTTGTCCAACCAGATAAGACTGCCTGCCAGACCACCACAAACTCTCAGATCTGATCAGATAAGTCTGATGTATTGCCTCTTATCTCTTCCCACATTGCTTTGTGAAATAGTAGCTGTAAAACTCTGAGATTTCAGTCTGTGTGAAAGCATAAAGAGTAGTTTCTCTCTCTCTCTCTGCTTACCACCCCCACCTTCCCTGGTTTGAGCTTTTTCTCTATCCTGGGTCACCCTGCAGGCCCAGGCAGAGGTGCAGGGTTTCAGGAAACTTGAGCCACTGTGGGCGCCTGAATCTCACATTTCATAACAAAGCAACATGCTCCTGTCTCAGACCTGTGTGGCTTCACTGCTGTCAGAAGTCAGCTCCTCTGTCAGTCTCCTAAGCAGATCCAGGGTTTTTCTTTGTTAACAATGATGTTACTCTGTAGTTAAATGTGTGGCTAAGTACTGTTTCTATACTGCTCTGCTCAGGCTCTTAGGTCTTTGTTTACCTTGAGGGTTTGGTCTGGTAAGTTCAGGGACTCAACTGAGTGATCCCTGTTGTCAAAACACAACATAGACTGATGAATAGTTTCTACAAGAATAAATGTAGTTAGGTTCAGAGCAGCTCTCCGTCTACATAATGACTTTTTCAATATCTCCTAGAACTGAAATATTGCAATAAATAGGTGTGCTCGTCTTGCCTTTTGCTGTGGGTCCCGGACGGGGTCCTGTCCCTCTGCCTGCGGTTCTTGAACCAGTTGCTGACCTGTGTGAGGGACAGTCCAGTCACTTTGGCCAGGTTTTTCTTCTCGTCCGGATTGGGGTACCTGTTGCTCTTGTAGCACTCTTTCAAGGCATTTCGAGACTTTTCTTTGAAGCAGTACACGGTCTCCTCTCCGTCCCAGATGGTTTTGGGCAGGGGGAACTTCTTTCGGAGCCGGTACTTGTCCACTGCGCCCAGGCTGCGGCCCCGGGACCTCTCCGCCTCCTTGTAGCGGGCTTTCAGGTACAGGTCCTGCAGGAACCCATGGTTAGACGGGTGGAAGTCGTGGCTCTCCAGCAAGGCGTACAGCTCCTTGAATTCTTCCCGGTGAAAAGCAACCAGTGCCTGGGCCTTCAGCAGGGTCTCGTTGCCACGTAGCAGCTCGGACGAAGGAGGTATGGTGGATAGAAATCTCCACAGGCGATCCACATTGCCCGCCTGCAGGAGGGCCTCGCACAGACATGATATTTGGTCGGTGGAGAAACTCAGAGCTGACTTTTGGAAACTTTTGAACAACTCTTCCGTAATTATCACTGCATCTGTTTCGTCTTTGATCTCCGATGCCGTCGGCTCGTCTGGGCTGTTCTCAGATTGTTCTGCAGACTCCAAAGACAAGGAAGCCATTTTTACTTTAACTTTTTTTTTTTCCACCACTAGTTCCTCCTCCTCCTCCTCCTCCTCCTCCTCCTCCCTCCCTCCCTCTCTCTCCCATTCTCCGCCAGTCGACCAAATAGTAAATGTGCCAGTGAAATACCAGCGACCCCGCCCCTTTCTCCAACTACACTGTCTTTGTTAGAAAGCTTTAATACCGCTAACTTTCACATGTTAAAACATTATTCAAATATGAACAAATTCCCGTTTTACTAACTCTCAGACTGAACGTTGTTTCCCGACCAGATTAACACATTTCTTGTTTAATAAAACTCGTTCAATGGCTTTAATATGAAACATCTGAAACCAATCTTGCACTTATTTTAGAGCTGTCTTAAAACAACTCAAACTGATGTTCAGTCAAACATGAGGAAAACGAAGACGCAATAAAACATGAAAAAGTAAAGAAGTGTGAAGACAGTTAGAAGCAGAGCCAAAAGCCTCGGTATTAAAGCGCTGTTTAACAGGGATTCAACATTTTTCTTGTCCCAATCTTGTAATTTCAAGTTTCACATGAGTTGTTTTTAATACACTGAATATAATTGGTCAGAGGAAATAAGAAACAACATGAGACACAGTGCAAATTAGCTGCCAGAGTGGCCCCTGTCAGATTGTTCTGGATTATAACTGATGCACTGTAGGCAGTATTTAAGTGTTTAAATTAATACTACTAATGATAATAATAATAACAATAACACTACAGGCTATGGAAAGTGGAAGATGAAACTAGCAAAAGTAATGTAGCATGTAAATACCTAACAAAGGTAGGCTATAAATACTTTAACGCATGATAGGCTTTGTCAGGATATGGCAACAATGCATATCTATTTCCAAAATGAAACACATTTAGTAGGCTATGTGATATTAAGGAAGGCTTTTGCACAACAGTTTCTCCATGTTTGTCCTGGTAAGACCAGTTTTCCGGCTGGTTTTCTAATGCAAATACTGTCAGTGCCACCACTAACAATTAAGCTTACACTAACACGGATGTTACACTTTGCATTTGTTTATGCAGACTTCATTTGATTTTTTTCCCCCTACAGAACATTCTTGAACATCCATTTTATCAATGCCTCATGTTTGTGTATATACCAAATACTGTGTGTGACCATGTTCTGCAGAGAAGTGTGAATGATGCCAGGCAGGTATGCAGACCTCTATCTTCTTCTGCCACCATTGGAATTAAAAGCTTCACTATAGTCTTCTCTCCCCACCCACCCCCTCTCCCCACCTGCTGTTTGGATGTAACTCCCTTTCTTTGATCTTCTCTTTCCTGCCCATACATGCTCGAGTCTGTTATCTTTACTTAAGAAACACTTCTTTTCAGTAAAAACATGTTAATGACTTAAGACTGGCCTTTGAATCAAGATAAGAATTAGTTTATCAATATCAGAAAATCTATTTATTTTTTACAACTCTACTTATTATATCAATGTCATCATGTTTCTAAAAAAGAAGTAATTATTTCTAACTATAACAAACTATACTATTTTTTTTTTTAACATTAAATCAGCAAGTGTAGACATTTTAATGTAGATGTTAAAAAATAGAGCCTTTAATACTTTGTAGCCATGCAGGACGAGTCTGCTTTTCAGGTCAAACTAGAAGTTTTATGCAGGCTTCAGGTTTATTTTTACACACACACACACACACACACACACACACACACACACACACAAATCCCTCAAACTACACTGTCGAATATATCAGCCTTTGTCCAGTTATCAAAGTTTATATCATACAATCAGTGGTTTATTCTAAAGTCTGTGTAATACAGCAGGTTTATTCTTTAGAATCGTTTAACCCAGGTTGCAAATATATATCTACAAACATATGAGTTAATTACTTTTTTAATTGAAACTATAAACAAAAGTTTATTATTAAAATAATGTAATTGCTTATTGTATTTTCTGAAATATTAAAAAGAAGCAAGTAGTTGTTTTGTACACATCAGTGTGGGGCTTAATGCTGAGGTAATGTGAACCACTGAGTGCAACGTTTATTGTTTTCAGTTAAAGAGTTAACAGAGTTATAATTAAATTGTTGAAGTAGCTAATAGGTCTGGTTTGTTTCATATAGGCTCGGGTTTCCTTTAATTGGATGGCGGTCTAAATCAATTTCAACCAGGAGCAACTGCAAAAAACATACGTATAAGATAACCATCAATCCCCACATTGTATGAACAATATAAAAAAAACTGACCCTTTTTTTCTTTTCATGGACTGAACATGGGCATTATTTAATGAACTGAAGAAATAACTGAAGAATGTTTATTTCGAAATAACTTATTGAAAAGACTGAAGAGTATTTGACTTTTGAAATATTTATAAGTTTAATGTTTTTTTGTAATTTAACAAAAAATGTAATTTATGCATTGAACTATTTTTGTTGTGTCCTATTTTCTATCATTTTAAAACAAGTACTTTATAATTTTTGGTGAAAATCCCAAGTCTCCTGAGTTTTATTAAATATTATCATCAGTTTAATTTATCTTATATCAGTTGCCCAATCTTAAATTCTTCATATTAATGCTAAAATGTATATTTTAATGGAAAACGTGTGCAACAATAGCGCCTCGGTGTGGTTATTTCTAGAGTCAGAAATGGCGACATCTGCTGTTCTAACAAATATTGTATCGCAGCTAATCTGGAAACAGATCAAATACTAATAATTCTACATACTCTTATTTTTCAGAATCAAAAAAAAAAAAAAAAAATTAAACGGAGTGACTACACCTAGTTTAAGTAAACGATGCAGATCAGCAAGAGAATCCCGAATTCAAACCGGTAGAGACGCTGATGATGCGTGATGACGTAACGACTTGCGTCATTGGTGCGGCCGGTCACGTGATTTTATTTTTTGGCGTGGCTAAGCAACACACGAAGCGGAGCATCGAAACATATTGCTGTGAGAAACTTGCACATCAGAAGTTGAATTTAACGTATCGGGTGGTCTTCTTCGGGCGAGATATCACTATTAATTTAGACAGATGTAAGTATTTAATGCCTCTTTTATGTCTTATTTAGGGACCTCATTGTATCCAACGTGACTGCGCTGTTGCTAGCTACCAAAACAGCTAGCGTTGACGCAGACTGTGACTAACTAAAACGAGATGGTTTACCATTAAGTGTTCCCACCTGATAAAGTATTCAAACATTACATGCAATCTCGTGTATGTCCACATGTAAAAAATCCACCTCACTACGTTAACATGTTGAGGAAGTCAGAACAATTTACGAGTAAAAAGAAAATAACATGAGAAGACACGAGTTATGGGAGTGGTATGACCTAACACTTTGTCTCTAGTCATTATTAATCATTATAAACCATCCCTGTCAATGGAAGTGTCTTCTACTGGACTGGCTTCAATTATTTAATACATTGAATTATTATTTTCATGTAAAAATAACAAATCTGCGGAGCTGATGTGATGTATGTATATGTATATATACCTCATGCACTACATCACTTTATTCTATCTTTTCTATTTCAGTATTCATACAGTTCTGGTTACTTTATTCCTGTTGTTTCTTATCCATAATTGCACTACGGTCACTTTATTTATCTCATTTTTACCTTTACAGTTATATTGTATATATTAGTTATGTTGTTCCATTATTCACCATGTACCTTATAACTCTGTATATATATATTTATTTCTCGTTTACTGCACATAGTTCTGTTTACATCTGTTTACATCTGTTAGTCCAATCACTGTCCACTTATATCTACTCTTTTATATTTTGTATTTTTAAGTTCAGTTGTATTTAAATTGACACTTTATATTTAGGTTAAAATGTTTCATTTACTGCTCTGTGTGCCTTTGAATTGCCCCCCGGGGACAAATAAAGTTTTTTTTTTTTTTTTATTGAATTGAATGTATGCATTCCGTACCTCCTGTATTATGTAACTTAGTTCTTCTATTGTTTTCAGCGTCTTTTCATAAACTGTGGTAATACCAACCGCACCATGGACAGCGAAGTGACTGTGATTACCTGTCCGTATGTGGATGTGCGCCTAACAAGCACCATCTCCTCGTTTGAGGTGAAGCGCAGGTTCAATAGAGGGATAACTATAGCAGCACTAAAGGTGAGAACCATACCATACACTATAAACCTTAAAAGACACACATTTTGCCTTAACTGTTACACAGGACTATCACAGACCCAACAATATCCCTTTATAAGTCCATCCTGTTGTTTGAACCGTTTTTGTTTGAACTATGATTAGGGGAAGCTGGAGATGGTGGTTGGCGCGTCTTTCTCCAGCATGGACCTGGAGTTGTATGGTGTCTCTGACAAGTTCCTGCAGAAAATGGATGACAATGAAGCTTTGCTTGGTTCCTATCCTGTCGATGATGAGTGCAGAATACACGTATGTATCTGTTTACCCTAACCTGAACTCCACAACCTTCAGAATCACTAGTTTGTTTTTTAATTTGTGTCTGTGATTCAACCTTCACAGGTTATTGATAGAAGTGGAGGTCAATTGGAGTTCACAGATGTTTCCAAAGTGGAGAAGTTTGAACTTTCAGATGAAGCCTATAAGAAAAGAACAGGTACAGTCTGACATACTTCGGCGTCTGTTCAATTTGTGATTCTCTGACACTTTATTTTGTGCTTCTGTCTCAATAGAATTAAGAACTATTTCTCTCATCTTGGGACCATATTCTCTTATTGCAGCAAAAATTCGATTATAGATATAGATATATAGAACTGTGAGGTATATAGAACTGCTAATATATTTATTAATAACTCAGTTAATCCACAAAAACAACTCCTAAATAACAATCTGTGATCCAGACAATAGCTTATATTGCAGCTGATTGTAAAATTTGATTGTTAGTTGTGGTCACTGAGAAGAAATACCATAGCTGTTATTAATTAGATAGTTTTTATGATATGGTTATTACTAGCAAATAGTTTAAAGGATTTAACCAATATTCTTTGTTTGAAGCTGCACGGCTTCCTTTACATTCTTTTCTGAAGTGC